GTCTCTTTATGCGCCGGCACCTTTATGCATCGTTAAAACAGGCAGCCGCGCCACTGCAGCAGTAAAACAGCAGTAAATCGATGTATCGTTTTTGCGACAACGACGATGAGTCCCGGACACGGCGCGATAGGTAAACGAGAACGTGGAACAAAATTTGGGTGGCGCCGACGTTATTGAGATCAGAGAGTCCATTTTAAAAGTTTTACCTAAACTAACAATATTTGCTGTTTTGATCACAGTTATGCACCCAGAAAAAATCAAAAATTTTTACTTCATAGTTATTAACACGTTGAATGTCATGGGAGTCACCGGTGACCCCAAACCACATCGAATTACTATAGTTCACTCAATTAAACTATGATTATTTGAAAATATCTTTATATTATAAATAATGCTAACTAATGTGGTGACATTCATCTATATGAACCTGCAATAATAACAATGCAATTCAATTCAATGATTTAATATTATATTTTTTCCATTTCAAGTATTTTGTACCATGAAATCGTGCGGCAATCAACGTGTTAAATTCCTTAAATTTAACTATGCTAAGGACGTTTCTAGGTAGTGTCCCCGCCTTAACGAATCGCGTGTTGATCTTAACTTCCATTCGTATGATTCGTTGGTGATTGGTTTTCATATCGGCGTCACGTTAATAGCGATCATCGAACAAAATTTCGCAGCCATACAAAGAAAAGACGGCGTAACGGGCGAAAAAGGTATTCTTTCCATCCTGATGACAGCTAGACGCAGTAACGATCTAATTAAGATCTTCCGTCGTTAATCCTCCTACGAAATTTTCGCGGTCCGTTCTTCCGGAAGAGGTGACAGAGACGGGCAAGAAACGGGGAGACAAACACGGAATAGCTATGAACGCAGGAAGGTCGGAAGGTGCTACGAGGTAGCGTAAACAATTCCCAGCACAATTAGGAAACGTTTGTCCGTCTGTGTTTATCGAAGGATCCGTAACTAGCTTAGGTAACACCTATCCATTTGCTACAGGCAACCAGGCTTCGGCTCGGTCATGCGAACAATTCAGGGACGCGTTATTCCCTTCCTCTTGGAAAGAAATGTTACTAACGGCGCATCCTGCCGACGCGCCATTTCAATTTCGACTGTTTATGTTACCTTTCACCATGATCCTCTTCGATCCGCATTACATAATGCAAGTAATTATCGGGTTTATCATTATAAATGTGTCAGACGACTAATCTACGATACCTGTAATCATTTTGTAATTGAAGTGCACTTGACGTATCAATAAACATCAACCAGACGCGGAGTTAACAGGATCAAGATGTGACTAGGAGCATTCCGATTGGTCGAATAACTGAGAATAAGTTCTTAAGCGTTAACTGAAGTTGGACACTGAAGTTAGACTATCGATTTATCTCAATGAAAACAGACAACAAAAAAAAAGACAAATATTCAAAGCTTGCTTAATCGGACAATACGATAATTGATATGAGATTGCTTGAACAAAAGAAAATCTAGACTGTTTAAAAAAATTTGGAAACCAATCGTTCGAGTGTTTTCTACGAGAAGAAATAGATTCTCCTTCAGCCCTGGAATTAACAGGAGTTTCGCATGCCTCGGAACCGTAACTCTTTCAGCGTTTCATAGGAAATATCTGCCATTACATTAATTTATTCTCTTGTCACGGACATTCGTTCGTTCCAGGTTTTTCTTTGTGCAGCGCCGGCAAATGAGAATAGTTTTCAAAGAACCGCTGGATGCCTATTTCCGTGACATTTTGTAAAGAGTAAAGAGAGAAAAAAAACCTAATTTAGTTCAAGCAGCCCGTTCCTAATAGATGTACTCTGCACGCGTGTACATGACCGACATATGAATAATCGCTCTAGACATTCGTCGTGGATATAATTTTTTCAGAAAATTCACGTTACTCTCACAAATCGCTTTACAAACTGCAAATTATGTAACGAACCATGATAATTATATTTAATGAAAAGAGATAATGCAAAAAATAAATTAATCTAATCTACTTTCTTACGTCTAACACGGTTTTACTGTCTACACTTTCTTCAATATCTATTGCAGGTAATCTTTCACTGCCTCTTTTCTTTTCTAATTAATATAAAACGTAACGCAATCATTATCGGAAACTTTCCAATATGAGTTAACCGTTATTACGTTTCTTCAACGTTTCTTTTTCTTCTTCCTACAATAATGAAAGTGCAATTAATTATTTCTACGCACTTTCTAGATTCATGTACGTTTCCTTCAGGAGTACATCATTCGCACGTGACGTCCACTAACAGGATAAACTTGGTAACGTGTGGATCGAAGAAACACAGCTTGGAATGCCCCGAAAACATGGACACCGTGAATTGACAAGGAAACACCGGTCACATGATCCCTTGGTACCAAACTTGTCGCATTATCCGTTACAACACATTCAGCAACGATGCGTAAGTTTACAGCTGAGGGACATTAAGCAAGAGGACGCTAAGATAGCTAACAACAAGCACGAGCCACCTGAGGAACTAACGAGAGGTAGTTGGCTCAGTGTTTCAAGAAATGCATAAAACAAATTAGCCCGGACATGTATGAAAATGATAAATGTTGAATTTATGCACAGTCTAAAAATCCAAACGAAAAACACGCATCGAACAAGAATGTTTAGCACCCCTTTCGCTTCCGTTGGAAATGGGATATACCGTGAGTCACATGATTGATATACAAACACGACCGCCGACAAATGTTTCGCCGTCACTTAATTCGTATTTTTACTTTCAAATTGCATCCGACTTCCACATTGCAGCAATGAGAGGCAGATACATCATGTACTATCAGAGGAAGCCATCAATGGCGTAACCGGGAAGCCGTCCAAAGTTCTCTAACGATGATGTATCGAGGTAGCACGAGACCCCTAACTTGCGGCCATTCCGATACACCGTAAGTTA